GAGTATTGTAGTATGCAATGAAACCTTTCTTATTGGACTAACATATTATTAAAAAGACAAGCTTTCCAGAGTTAACCTCTCTTCTTCAGGTCAGAAGCAATACCTTAAGAAGAGAGGTTAACTCTCGAAAGCTTGTCTTCTGACCTGAAGAAGAGAGGTTAACTCTCGAAAGCTTGTCTTTTTAATAATATGTTAGTCCAATAAGAAAGGTTTCATTGCATACTACAATACTCAGTTTATATATGTGTGTGTGTGTGTTTGTGTTTGTATGAGTTTTCTGTACATTACTTTACCACTATTATTACATGTATGCAACAATACATATACTGTATATGCTGACAAGTTTCAGCAGCAAATTCCTTTCTAGTTATTTTGCTTTAAAGACATATTATTGAGATAAAACACCAACATCCTATAAGAGTTCAATGCAAAATGTTTGCCGTCTATCAAAACACAAGGAGGTGGTTTATCCAGAAAACTGCACCAGATGGAATCTTGGCTGCTTTTTATTTCTTATGGGATTTACAATTTTATTATGACATGCTAGGAGAGAATTTGATATCCAGGTAAGGAGAGGCAGCTCTCTGTTACATGGGGTATCCCTGAGGGTCCCCAGAGTAGTCTAGACACAGTGTAAAGAATGAGAGCGCACCATGTTAGTAATAGATCCAGTAGAAATGTATTACTTTTAATTAAACGTCAGACAATCAATCTAACACATTTCACTGGCTTAAAACATTTGCCAGGGCTTGCTTTTGGAAGAAGCGTGGACAAGTGAATTATAAACTTTGGAGGGTGAGTAACTTAAAGGGTTAAATTAGTAAAGTCCCAGCATATCCTATCCTGTTATAACATCAGCACTGTAATAGGAATACAAACTAGAGTTGCTTTTCATAATACAATCAAAGCTTACTTGAAAGAAATCCCTTTTATGTAGTGAGCGCTGCCTTCTGTCTGCCCATCACTTTCATCAACTTCCTGTGTGCTTTGTGTCTCTTTCCCTGCTGCTTGATGTGATGCAATCTCCTTTTCTCAACACTACATATTCCATCATGCATTGCTTCCAGCAAGCAATGATAATGTTACATTGTTCAGACGTTGAGTTGTAGTTCAGAAGGCAGGCTCTGTGAGAGTGGTGACACAAGTGGTATCAGTGCATTAAGGAGGTACATCCTATGTGCATCTTTAATAAGTTCACAATCTTCTAGATCATTGTGGTTATTGGGAGTGGGATAGAACTTAAGGAAATTCAATATAGAAATACATAATTATTTTTAGTTTTTGACCACAGATACCCTTTAAATAGCAGTGAGTTACACCGACCTGTGTGCTGTCCTCCTCTGGAGGGAGACTGCTGCTAAATCTCCTCTCCCTGCAGTTTACATGATGCCCACTGGCTTCTGGTCCTAACACTATAGACATCTATGAGGATGATTTATTCAATTCATACAATAAAGCTGAGACTGGGAGCTGTAGGCAGCGTCTGAACAACAGGAACAAGAAGGAAACATTAAAATTATAAAAGTATTACAATTATTTAAAAAAAGAATGTCAGATACAGCCAATGCATTTTCGGGGGATAGGCCTCCCCCCTGTTCAGGGCTTATATGATGATTTGTGGGTTAGCCAAGGCAGTTTGTTGAATAGTCTTGTTGGTAGGGGAGCAGAGGTGCCCGGATAATAGGCACCTTTGCTCCCCTACCATGGAGGCATAGATATTCTGATCAAAGTTGTACTGCATTCTGCAAGCTTTGCTTGTTTGTGTACACACTGCTAGTCTGAAGAAGTCACTTTTCCCGTTTCATGTCATCAAACGCGTTATTTTGGCATTTAGGAATTTTAGATTTGATCAGGATACATATGGTCTCGCTGGATTGTTATCCAGGCGCCTCTGCTGCCCTTCAGGCTTTTCCTATTTTTGCCCACACCACTTGGAAATGTTTCTAGAGCAACTTTACTTCCCGTGGATGTCCCAGGCACAAGTGTGAGAAAATATCCCCAATGAGGGTTACAGACAGAAATAAACATCTGGCAAAAAAATTAACTGTAGTTCACTCTATCCTAAATGTGGAAAATGGTTGGTGTTGGGATTTAAAGCAAGGGTGGGCGACTCCGGCCCTCCAGCTGTTGTGGAACTACAAATCCCATGAGGTATTGCAAGATTCTCAAAGCCACAGGCATGACTCCCAGACAAATGCATCATGGGATTTGTAGTTTTAACACAGCTAGAGGGCCAGAGTGTCAAATGAACACTCTCTCCTGCCCATTCAGGGCAAAAGTGACAGTAGCCCACCTTTCTAGAAAGGTATAATCACCAGTCCACACTCCATCGGACCTCCCAAGTCACAAGTGGAAGTGACTGGCCTGGGCGGTCAGTCGCCAGGCCAAAACACTGTCATGGGGACGCAGCTTCTGCCCTGCAGCTCCAACACCATCTGATACTTGAGCTCAGGGTCAACTCCTGAACTGGGAGGCAGCATGTATACCTTACTGGGGGTGGAAGGCATCACTACTTTGCCCTGAATTGACATATGACAGGGCCTCTTTAAAAGCTTCCCCCAGAGAAGGGCAATTTAATTACGTTTGCACATCACAAATCTAAATGAAATATTGAAATCATAACCCACACCCACCCAATACAAATGCAGACTTAATTGGGCAAGCACTCATTTCCTTATTGTCAGGGGCAGCAAAAGTGGCTTCAGACGTCCTCTTCCCCGGAACCAAAAGGCACAGCGCACTGTTCCCTCCCGGGCGCTTTAGACCGCGGACCGCGTCGCTTAGTTACGCAAGTGGAGAAGGCGGAAGTGTCTGAGAATGGGCATCCTGCGGGCACAGTGACCTCCTAATGCCATTAATTAACCTTTAGAGTGGATAGACGGGGATGGTCACATGACTCCTGTGTGTGCCAGTGTGTGAGAGGCCGGCCGCCCTGTGAGCTCAGGTGAGGCTTTATACACAGGAGTCTTGTCGGGCTGGTGCAGTCCAAAGACACCTGTAGTCGGGGCACTACACTTCCCAGCATGCCCAGGTGTTATTGTAAATTATTTCCTTCATACTGTGCCTTCGTGTTACACAGAACTGCATCCCACACAGGGCCTGATTGGCAGAAGATTGTATTGCAATGCTGGGGGGACACACACAGCAACTTTCAATTGCAATACTAAAGAAAGGGATATAGGAAGGTTGCCCCACCCCGATATAATTGCCTGAGGGAGGTGACAGAATTTGTTGATGGTGGGTTGCCTTATCCTTTGCCTGTTTTTGCAATTGAAAGCTGGATGGGAATGACCAAAAATTGTGTGCATGGCCAGCAGCATGGTTGTATTGCACAGTCTGATGCTGGGTGTGGGAGCCTTCACGTGGGGCTTTACCTTTAAAAGAGAAATTGCTATAGGATATGCACTTTGCATGTTTGTTTTGCTAACCCCCCAATAATTTTTTTTACATGCCTAGCAATGTTTATATAGGTTTATATAGTGTACGCAACCTGTGGCGAATGCTTTGTGTAGTTTACAGAGCGGGAGATGTAACTTTATCAGTGGCTGCTAAATTACTAGAGGAAGCGCACAAACCTAGAAGCCGGAGCAGCGAGGGACGGCTCTGAACACATTGTGGACAAGCAGACCTAGAGTTCTCATTTAAAACCCAACTTTCAGCTTAAATCGTCCATATACACTCCAATACAAATGATATACAAAATCTTCACTCCGTTTAAGTTTAAAAATCAACAGCCTGCATAGAAAAGCCTGTCCCTTCCCAGCAGCTGCAGGGAAGGACCCTTGATCTCTGTGAGGAGCAGTGGACTCTCTGCAGAGGTCCCACATGCACCCTGCTAAGTCAGACCTATAGCTCTGCATTTAGTATAGCTTATGCTCGCCACTGATTGCAGAGCTCTGACTCAGGAGGGGGTATGTGGGCCCGCTACAGAGAGACTCCTTTTCCCCACAGAAAGCAGGGGGTCTTTCTCTGCAGCTGGTGGCAGAGGACAGGTTTTCCTATTTTGGCTGTTGCTGAACTTAAAGAGGACCTTTAGGCATATCTTTAAAATAACAACAAACACACCTTCAGAAGTGTTTAGTAATGACAATCTACAAACTCACACTTCTAGATCATTGCAGGCTTTGTATTCTTTGCATACCCTATTTCTCTTTTCTTCCCCAGTCTTCTGACAGTGCTAAGAGCAGATTACTAGCTCTCCCTTTATTACCTGGAACTCTGGCACATGTGACTAGGACATGTGACCATGTCCATAATCTCAGGAGAGGAAAATGCCTTTCCCTGAGATCTCCTGAGATTACAGATGATATTTCCCAGCAATGCTCTGCTGATGTAACCTTCCCAGGATGCAGTGCTTGGGCACATTACATAATTTTTGCCAGAAGTGGACCAGGAAGTGGATGAATTCTATTTGTATGTAAATTAAAATGTTTGTTTAGCTAATGAATATAAGATGATTTCATATTAGCATGCAGAGCTGCATGCTGATGTGATTTTTAGTGAAAGGGGGTAATGGTCTGCTTTAAGAGAATAACAAAGTAACAGGGTTATTCACAAAAGGGTGAAGAGTTTGGAGAAGGCAGAAGACGTGAACAATCTAGGACAAAATAGCTGATGTTGTCCTAGATTGTTCAGTTCTGCCTTCTCCAAACTCTTCACCCTTTTGTGTAAAAAAAAAAAAAGTTCTTCTTTTAAGAGAACCTGTCATAACAAGCCATAGTGGTACAGAAAGCCTAGTGCACACTATGCTGCAGCGCAGACCGAACCCTCTATGCCAGGACAGGGATAGGCTATAAAGTCTTGGTCGCAGTTATTCATATTAGCGCTGGCTTCATGCTCTGCGTCTTTTATGCTTGTCATACACATGACATGTTTGTAGCAATTTGAACCCTGAGGCTTGTTAAAAAATACCAGGTTTCCTTTTATTATTCCAAATAATTGTTCACATGTTGAAAAGGACATTATGTATATTGTTAAAACTGAATTCTCATATTTGTGCTTTTTTACAGTCATTATGGCTGTTAAGATCTTCTTCCCCACCGCATGTTCAGCAGCAGAGAACGGTCTTCTGATTGGACGCTGGCTGGCAGAGCACAGGTCTGCTGTAGTATTGGCCACGCTGCATTTTCCTTTCATCCCAGCTAATGTGAAGAGCTATCTGAGCCAGATAGAGAAGATGACCGGACTGAGCCTCTCCGTTCTAGGGACCTGGAGCCATGCCAGGAAGGACAAAGATGACAAGATGGACAATTTTCTGGGAGAGCTGGGCAGTATCTTCAGTCACCAGCCATGGCTGCGGATCTCCCGGGAGTCTTCAAGCAAGTTCTGGGATTGTAGGGTAGAGAGGATGGAGGGCGAAGGGTCAGAGGACGTGGTCTTGACGTACTATGACCAGAGGAAGCTGATGCTGTCCGAGTTACACTCTGCATCTGAATATTCGGAGATCGCTTCTGTGTTTGAGACAGTGGCCAAGAACCAGCCACTCTTCGCCAAGGACAAGTATGATGGGGTGCTGGTGAACCTAACACACTGGCAGTCTGAAGGGGTGGAGGCCAGTATTATTGTGGAACTGTGCAAGCAGTCGTCTGTGCCATTGTGTGCTGTCATCTCATTTTTTGCCTCGCTGATCACCAGCATATGTAATCTCAGGTAAGAGCGGAGTCCTAATGGATGTCATTACAAGGATGAGAGCACTGCAAAGATTGATTCTGTCCAGTAAGAATTTTTATTTTTCACAACATGTAATCAAAAAGCCAATGCATTCAGGGGGCTCATAACTACCCCCTCATCAGGGTTTGTCTGCTGGTAGTAATTCAGGTTTGTTCTGGACAATTATTGCAAACAGTATGTCATCTGAGTTGCCAACTGCAGCCACTGCAGAGAACAGTTGTAGAAAGAGAGCCCTGTCACATGACTTTGACAGGTCATGTGATAGGGTTTTCCTCCTATCCAAAAGTGTTCTCTGCAGTGTTTCCTTCTTCAGTAGAATGAATTGGACCTCACTTGCTTCATAGTCCCCAGAGTAAGAGAAGGACAAAGCACTTTTATAAAGCATGGTAAAGCGGTACACTTACCCTTGGGGTAGCTGGCCTTGAGTCTATTATTAATATTACTTTCTTGAAGGGTTATTAAACCCACATTTGTTTTTGCATATATCTACTGCTAGAAAGTTGTAGATATATGCAAAAACACTAAAAAAAAAAAAAACTTTTCAAAAAGGGGTTAAAACTTACCTGTGTCTCCACCGCACCCTCCCGTACGAACATCTGAACGTTTTTCGGGCTGGCGCATGCGCAGTTCAGGTGTTCAGCCGGGAGTTGAGGTGAGACACAAGGTAAGTATATGGCGTAACGTGCACCCGCACAGACTCCGTGGGACATGAACAAAGAGGAGGACAGAGGAGTCGGCGCTGGATCGAAGATGATGAATGGATTAAGAGACATCATTTAAGGTAAGTCCTTACATTAGCACTGTGGGTGGGGGGAATCTGGCTTTAATGTCACTTTAAGGACTTCTGAAAAGTGTGCTGCCAAGCACTTTTTTTGTTGTCTATAGCAACCAGTCAGCTTTCAGCTGTCATTCCTACGGTCCATGATTTAAAAAAATAAACAAGTATTCTGATTGGATACTGTGGGCAAAAATGTTTTCCTGTTAGCAATTTTTTTATAGGAAAGCACTAAACTGAAGCCTCATTATGTCTAAAATTGCATATAATGGTTTGGGATCATAGAAAAAGAATCTCGCCACACCTCTAGTCCAACAACCCTTCAGTACCAAAAAAAGAGAGAATTAGGGGGCGCGCGCGAGCAGAAAAAAATAGCCGTCTGGAGACGGCAACCCGCAGATGTACCAGTGCCGTCCGTCTGTTTTTTTACTATGGGCGGACGGCAAGAGGTTAAAGGTGCCAGAACACTTTATACTAAGAACCAGCTAAACCGTTCCTTTATTAGGCATTATCATAAAATATTTATAATCAAACGGTAAAAATTAATCAAACCCTCAAGCCACATCTGAATTCTCATGGTCTGCTCTGGTTGAAATATGGTTCTGAACCATTCCTAAGCCACAGCGGGTCACAAAACTTTAATAAAGACAACAAACTAAAAGAGGACACTAAGCTTAAGATCCAAATACAATTCATACTCGCGGTTTGCTGTCACCCTCAGATGTGGCTTGAGGGTCCGATCGAACTTTTGCTTTTATGATTTTTTTTTTTTAATCGTTTGATTATTCATATTTTATGATGCTACTTTAATAAAGGAATGTTTTAACTTAAAGTGACATTAAACCCTCAGATTTTTTAACATAAAACAATACTGTAATGTGTGCCTTACTGTAATCCATGGTCGTTTCCCTTCTCTTTGCTGCTCTTCCTTTTAAATCTGTATCTGTTCTCATGCTCTGCAGAACTTCTGTTTTGCAGCAGACTGCCTTGTCTGAGGAATAGATACACGGTGTCTGTGTGTACGTTTCTATAGGCTTGTAACCTGAGCCAGCACTACAGGAAGAGGCCCTGAGCTGAAAAGGGAAGTTCTCACCAAGCATGAGAAGACATGAGGATTTAAAAGGAAGAGCAGCAAAGAGAAGGGAAACAACCATGGATTACAGTAAGGGACACATTACAGTATTGGTTTATGTTAAAAAATCTGAGGGTTTAATGTCACTTTAAGGGTCTTGACATAATGTGTTCTGGCAACATTAAAACCCCCTTCTCTCTTTTTTTGGTATCTGAAGCCTCATTATGGTTGAATGACTGGATTTGGTCGAAGATCGCTGCCTTTCTTTTGTTTCTAAATTGTAGGAGAGGGATGAAAATTTAGAATGTATTTCCACTTCTGCAGTCCGTTTTGAGAAAACCCTTCTATATGATTGTTCTGTGTTCCCAGTTACACAGAATATCTAAATGTATTTCTTTGAAATATTTCTTACCAGCAGAGTGGGGAAGAGCTACACTGATGCTGTGACCGGGTGTCACTAAATCATCCACATAGCACTTCTGCCAGGTACATGTGAACTGCCAAACTGCAGTGGTAACACACCTCACCCCCCACTAATGGACCCCAGCCACTCGTTTTTACTCCTCTACAATGATTTCTATACACCATTAATGGAAGGAAATAAGACTATAATGAAAAGACCTGTCTTACTGTAATGCAGTACATTTCCTATATACAAATACACTCTGATTGTCCTGTTAATAATTTGAAGTCTGCTTTATTGCAGGGTTCTTAGTGGGAAGCCGCTTTCCTTCCTGTGGAACAAGATGTCTACTTGTGAACAGTTGGGGAGACGTCTAGAGAACCTTCGACTGATCAGCAGCTCAGAGAAAGCACCTGACCATGTGACTTTCATGAGGTACCCACTGCTTTCCTCTCTACTTTATGCTGGTAACCTCTGCTTTTCACTTCTGCCAGCCTCCTGTCATCTCCATGTCTGTCACTTTACATTTTCTATATTTCCTTCCTTTTTTTAGTTTCTCTCTTGTCCTGATCCTTCACTGCATAACTGTACACAATAAAATTGATGCTGGATTCTCCCTAACCTGATTTTGATGCTACTCATGGACACAGTTGCTCAGAGCAGACTTTACTGAAAAGCAGTGGACGCAAAGAACTATGAAAACTTGTTTTTTTCTTTTTAGTAGAAGAGTACAAGAGTAGAAGAGTAGAATGTTAGAAATAGTAAATACAGAGCCATGCCATGGGCTATATAGGCTTCTCTGAAGGGGAATTTATCAAAACTGGAGCACACAAAACCTAGAGCAGCTGTGTATGGCAGCCAACCAGCTTCTCTCTTTCATTTTCAAATCTTAACTGAGCAAACTAGAGAGAGAAGCTGATTGGTTGCCATGCACAGCTGCTCCAGATTTTGCCTGCTTCAGTTTTGATTAATTCCCCCTCCCCCCCTCAGAGAGCGTTGGGAATTATATCTGAAAAGGACTGTGAGATAAGTGTATACAGATCCTTTAGCACTCGAGGTGGAACCTTTCTCCCCCCATGATATGGGATCTACTTCAGTAGCCTCGATTGTCCTGTCCTTTTTGCACTCCCCTCTTGCTAAATGGCCCAGAATGGCCACCTCTACTGCCTACCCCTCTGCTCCATGCTTTCATTCTTTGTATACTTCCTGTCCCTGCAGTTTTCTAAATGTATTAATTGTCTGCATTGGTGGCCCCATAGACTTCTATTGCAGGGACTAATTCCATTGCAAAAACATATCAGAGACCAGAGGTAGAGAGCGCACAGAGCAGAAGCATTTCTGTAATGGTACCCCTGCATCCTAGCTTTAGGAGAGGTTAGTTTAATTAAACTGTATGTCAAGCCAACATTTTTTCCTTAGTTTTGGATAGAGTGGGGAAAGCTGAGAACCCCTGTCAGGGGTTAGAGAAATGTACCTTTGTCCTGTCCTAGTGATAATGTTTTACCAGACAGGAAGTGTGGGGAACTTGCCAACAGCAATACAGACAGAATTTTCTTAATGGGGTAGAAGAAACCTAGAACCACTGTTAGATTTTTTTTTTTATTCCCGTCTGTGCCCGTTGCATATTTTCTCCCACTTCCTGTCTGATGAAACTGTTGTCAGTGACATAGTGGGTGAGGAGGAATCTCTCTAAAGGTGCCCATACACCTTACAATTTATCTGCAGATTTTCTGTGGTCAGATGGAAAAAGTGCAACAGATTGGCCCAGGTGGAGATTACTCCATCCACACAGTTAAGTGTAGATGGAGAAATCTGTTGCACCTTTTCCATCTGACCACAGAAAATCTGCAGATAAATTGTAAGGTGTGTGGGCAGCTTAATGGAGCCCTGGATATTAGGTGCTCTAATCCTTCCCCACCCAATAAAGTCCGTGACTTGACATACACTTTAAGTTTTTACACTTACCTTCTGTTGTCCTTTTTACATATATTCAATGAAGCTCGCCTTCCATATGAGATCTGGAGATGACACGTGGCTGAAAAGTTTCTGCGTCACTGAGTTCACTTTTCAGTGTTAATTATTTGACTTGTCTTATGTTCTGCTTTTCAGAAAGGCCAACATTGTCATGTCACTATTACTAGATGTGACTATGGGCATTCTATTGATGTCCTGGCTGTACCAGGGAGATCATATAGGTCAGATGGCTGATGCTCTCATCCCTGTCGCTGACGTAAGTTCTCATCCCTGTCGCTGACGTAAGTTGTATGGTTGTTTTTGTTCCCTTTAAGCGGCAGTGCCGTGCATAATTGAAATATCTGCCACTGATGTTAAGGCTCCCTCTTAAGACATGAAAAGAGACAGCAGATTTCAGTCATGAAGGTAAATTTCCCCTTTCATACAGGACGTGTCTTTAACAAAAGAAAAAGGAATTTGTGAGGAGCTGGGGGGAGAAGGGGCAAGCTGGGGGGAGAAGGGGCAAGCTGGGGGGAGAAGGGGCATGCTGTCTGCAGTTGCATAAAAAATCCCTATTTATCCCTATGGCCCACCATCAATAGCTACAAAATGGCTTAACCCTATGGCCCACCATCAATAGCTACAAAATGTACCTCAGTTTTAGGGACAGTCTCAAGCATTATTATTGTTCTTATTATTATTCAGGAGTTATATAGCACCAACAGTTTGCGCAGCGTTTTACAACATGGAGAGACGGTACAGTTAGTTACATTTCAATACAGGAGTGTTAGGAGGGCCCTGCTTGTGAGGGCTTACAATCTAGTAGGAGGGGCAAGTGATACAAAAAGTAATAATTGCATAGGATGAGTTATTGGAAGAAGTGGAAAGATGGTTATTTATTTTGAGGTGGGATAGGCTTCTCTGAAGGGATGTTTTCAGGGATCGCCTAAAGATGGACAGAGTAGGAGATAAGCAAACAGATTGCGGTAGAGAGTTCCAGACTATGGGAGACACTCTGGAGAAGTCCTGGAGGTGAGTATGGGAGGAGGTGACACGAGAGTTGGAGAGCAGGAGGTCTTGAAAGGACGATTTGGATAATATTTTGATATGTGGTGGGGGATGTAGTTGGGGGCAGAGTTGTAGATGGCATTGTAGGTTATTGTTGGTATTTTGAATGTTATACTTCGGGGAAGTGGGAGCCAGTGGAGGGACTGGCAGAGCTGGGTGGTGGACACTGATCGGTTGGTAAGGTGGATGAGTCTGGCAGCAGTATTCATGATAGACTGAAGCGGGGATAGCCTGTTTAGTGGTAGGCCAACAAGAAGGGAGTTTCAAGGCGAGAGATTACAAGGTAGTGAATTAGAAGCTTTACCGTGTCGTTTGTTAAAAGGGTAAAAGTTTGGAAATGTTACGGAGGTTGAGTCGGCAAGATTTACTGTAAATAGTGATTGGATGTGGGGCTGAAAGGAGAGCTCAGAATCAAGCATTAGGGACTTGTCCATAGAATCTCCGCTGCCTCTAAAATCCCTCTATTCCCACGTGACGGGGCTCAGGCCCTAGGAATTGGCGTCTGAGACTACATTATGGGAGGGCAAGGGAAGTTTCACATTTGTACCCAATACCTGGAAGTACTGCAGCTTAAACTGGGCAGCAATGGGGATTGAGCTGTGCACAGCAGTGCTGAGGGTAAGTAAAGGTAATAAAAGGCATCTAGCACCCAGAGGAGAGAGGTTCTTGTTTTAACGGAACATTTTGGTGCAGTTTTTCCATGTTCACCACTTTACATTTTGGTTGTTCAGTTTAAATGTTCTTAATTCTCTTATCTGTCCGAGTTTTAATTTCTGACTTTGTATGTAGCGAATAGCTTTGGAGCTCCAGGAGCTGCTGCAGTGGCTGATGGGAGCTCCCGCTGGGTTGAAGATGAACCGGGCCTTGGACGAGGTGCTGGGAAGATTCTTTATGTATCACATCCACCTGTGGATAAGTACGTTCTGGTAACAGTTTGGGGATCCTTAAAGATGAACAAGTTTTCCTTATAAGAAATCACTGTAACTGCCAGTGCTAGGCTCACAGATTCACTTCTGTCAGCGCTGGTGTGTTTTTTTTCTTTACATTTTAACCCAACATCTCATCAGGTATTTAGTAATAGAATACAGAGGTTGCTACTTATGACTTGCTCATTCACGCCACTTGCCAGTCAGCATGCTGCCAATGAATAATCTGATACCTTTGAAACTCTATGTACCTTGGCTCTAACTCCTGACCTCACTTTACTGTTTACAGGTTACATCCGCCTGATGTCTCCCTTCATTGAAGTGATTCTCTGGTATATCGGCTTGTCTGCCTGTCTGGGTCTGACAGTAGCTCTGTCCATCCTTTCCGACATTATTGCCCTCCTGACCTTCCACATTTACTGCTTCTACGTATACGGGGCCAGGTAGGTACATACTGGACTGCATATAAAGACAGGATGAATCAGTAGTCCTTCACACTCACTGTGTACCCTAAGAAGCATCTGCCAAATTGCATGAAATGTCATTTTTGATATATATATATATAACATGACTTATTAAAGATGTATTATTATACAGGATTTATATAGTGCCAACATTTAGCGCTTTACAAAACTGAGGGAGACAATACAATTTCAGTAAAGGAGGTAGGAGGGCCTGGCTCATGAGAGCTTACAATCTAGTAGGACGGACAAGTGATCCAAAAGGTAATAACTGTTTGGGATGATTTAGTGGAAGAACTGAAAGTACTGTTATATCGAGGTTTAGAATTTATTCTAACATGAACATTTTAAAATGTAATTGGAACCCCCAACAAAATGTAGTTTCTACTAGTGTTCTGATATTCCCATACACTGTGCAATATTTGTGCAACGATAATCGCGAGAAATCCCGCGATCAGACGATAATCGCAGTCGCACGTCTTTTGTCTAAGGAGCATGTTCGAAAACCAGCCGAAAATCTTACGCTTTTCGGCTGGATTGTGGCATGCTCGGGAGACAAATGCCGAACGGGCTGGTGTGCGCACGAGCACACTGCCCGTTCCGCATTGCAGTCATCGGAAGCCCGCCCCTCAGGGGGGCGGGCTTGCGATGATCGCGAGTACGATCTGCCTGTCCAAGATGGGCAGATCGTACGTTTTTTTAAATCACTTTACAACCATCGCAAGCCTAAGGTCTTGCGATGGTTGTAAAGTGTGTGGGCACCTTTAGTCTGCAGTCATCCTACAGTAATGTTTATTGCATGCAATGGCTGACAGCTGTGTTTCAACTCCTTCCCTGCTGTTCATGGGAGCACCTGTTTTGTGTTCTTGCTTTTGACTGTCGTCCAATTGTCAATCAGATTATACTGCTTCAAGATGCACGGGCTTTCGTCGCTTTGGCGGCTGTTTCGTGGCAAGAAGTGGAATGTCCTGCGTCAGCGAGTGGACTCCTGCTCTTATGACTTGGATCAGGTATTTAGACTTTCGTATGCCTGCAGTTCCACCACATTGCCAGGAGGGGGATTATAAGATGATACATTTTAACCCAACATCTCATCAGGTATTTAGTAATAGAATACAGAGGTTGCTACTTATGACTTGCTCATTCACGCCACTTGCCAGTCAGCATGCTGCCAATGAATAATCTGATACCTTTGAAACTCTATGTACCTTGGCTCTAACTCCTGACCTCACTTTACTGTTTACAGGTTACATCCGCCTGATGTCTCCCTTCATTGAAGTGATTCTCTGGTATATCGGCTTGTCTGCCTGTCTGGGTCTGACAGTAGCTCTGTCCATCCTTTCCGACATTATTGCCCTCCTGACCTTCCACATTTACTGCTTCTACGTATACGGGGCCAGGTAGGTACATACTGGACTGCATATAAAGACAGGATGAATCAGTAGTCCTTCACACTCACTGTGTACCCTAAGAAGCATCTGCCAAATTGCATGAAATGTCATTTTTGATATATATATATATAACATGACTTATTAAAGATGTATTATTATACAGGATTTATATAGTGCCAACATTTAGCGCTTTACAAAACTGAGGGAGACAATACAATTTCAGTAAAGGAGGTAGGAGGGCCTGGCTCATGAGAGCTTACAATCTAGTAGGACGGACAAGTGATCCAAAAGGTAATAACTGTTTGGGATGATTTAGTGGAAGAACTGAAAGTACTGTTATATCGAGGTTTAGAATTTATTCTAACATGAACATTTTAAAATGTAATTGGAACCCCCAACAAAATGTAGTTTCTACTAGTGTTCTGATATTCCCATACACTGTGCAATATTTGTGCAACGATAATCGCGAGAAATCCCGCGATCAGACGATAATCGCAGTCGCACGTCTTTTGTCTAAGGAGCATGTTCGAAAACCAGCCGAAAATCTTACGCTTTTCGGCTGGATTGTGGCATGCTCGGGAGACAAATGCCGAACGGGCTGGTGTGCGCACGAGCACACTGCCCGTTCCGCATTGCAGTCATCGGAAGCCCGCCCCTCAGGGGGGCGGGCTTGCGATGATCGCGAGTACGATCTGCCTGTCCAAGATGGGCAGATCGTACGTTTTTTTAAATCACTTTACAACCATCGCAAGCCTAAGGTCTTGCGATGGTTGTAAAGTGTGTGGGCACCTTTAGTCTGCAGTCATCCTACAGTAATGTTTATTGCATGCAATGGCTGACAGCTGTGTTTCAACTCCTTCCCTGCTGTTCATGGGAGCACCTGTTTTGTGTTCTTGCTTTTGACTGTCGTCCAATTGTCAATCAGATTATACTGCTTCAAGATGCACGGGCTTTCGTCGCTTTGGCGGCTGTTTCGTGGCAAGAAGTGGAATGTCCTGCGTCAGCGAGTGGACTCCTGCTCTTATGACTTGGATCAGGTATTTAGACTTTCGTATGCCTGCAGTTCCACCACATTGCCAGGAGGGGGATTATAAGATGATAGATTTCCTGTCTTGCAATTTGCATGCATTCATACACATTTAAAAACTGCCGATCCATAAATATCTACCGTTAAGGTGCAATGCCTATGCAGGAAAAAGCAATAGGTTCATTTAAATTGCATTTAAAGGCTCCTGTATGACCGGTACTAAACAAATACGGAATCCAGTTGCTATGTGATCATACTTCCCAACTGTCCTTCATTTGGAACCAAATCCCTCTGTCCCTCTTTCCTCCTCAGTTGTCCTGCTTTCTGGTTTGATGTACAGATATCAGTCAAAATGAGCTATTTAACTACCAAAAGTGTTTATTGTGCACAAAAACCTTCAACCTATCTCATAAGTATCTTGTTGTAAAACAACAATTCTGGCTTGACTTATCATTTTTGTTATATAAATTCTTAATGGCCTGTATGGTAAGGGTGTGTCTTTTGCCTAAATACATTGTGCAAAAGGTATCCCACTTTTTCATCTCAGAACGTTGGGAGGTATTTGTGATGCACAAGCCTCATAAAGTAAAGAACAAACCTTTACCTTCCTAACTGAACTAAATACAACTAAAAGGGGGTTTTCAGAGGCTAAAGACTGTTGTACCTGCTCTATTGGCTGCAATGTATTACTTTTACAATGTACTGCTGTGACTGTGTATCACCTCTCTCCTGCAGCTGTTTCTCGGGACATTGCTATTCACAATCCTGCTCTTCCTCCTACCAACTACTGCTCTGTATTACCTGGTCTTCACCCTGGTATGTATTATTCTTAAACATCAATCTTTGAAAACTAGACGTCCAGACCAAATTTTAGCAGTGTCAGTATGCATCGGTTATGTTAACAACAACTCTATGAATATGTTGCATTCCTAAATCATTTTTACATTGGGTTTAAGCACATACAGTATGTTCTTGTGGTACATTTTTTTAATGAATATGCTGCTTATGTTTTTTATTATAGGTTTAAAAAAAAAAAGTTTGGGGTGGGGGGTGTTAACTGCAGCCTGCCACCTTCAGCTGTCATAGTGCCGTTTCTCTCTGTGCGGTACTGTGTCAGTGTGAGATGAAAGGTTTGCCTGTAAACAAACCCATGTGATCCCCAGGTCAAAACTGTCATTGGGATCTCATGGTTTAGAGCCATGCTGATCAGTTCCTGATCGCTAGGGGAAATCTAGATTGCACAGGCATACACTTCTAGTTCACACCCGGAATGTTAACATTCTTATGGTGCGGAGCGTTGTGACTAAGAATGTTAAAAGCCAAATTGCAGACACCATCTTGTTAGTGGGCAAGTAATGAAACACAATTTGTCTCTTTCTACCTATTACACTTATTCCTAATTGTGTATTAGCAGTACAGAAATTTGCCATAAAATTGACATTTGATGTGGACACGCTTTTTCCCAAAAGCAGAAATGTTATCTCAAATGCTTTTGAGATGTATTGATCATATACTGAAGTGCACATACATCAAAATGATCTAAACCCAATCTTAAGCTTATAAATGTGGTTTGTAATATGTAGCGATCTTTCTATCCATGGCCACTTTAAAGTGTATGTATAGCCTTTTTTTGTGTTTTAGTTTAGCTAGAGTTGTAGAGTCGGAAAAGTTTTTAAACTTCCGTCAGGCTATTTTTTTGCTGTTTGTGTACCATTGGCATATTTCACTTTTGCTTCCTGTCACAGGAATGTAACAGGAAGTTACATGAAATCTTCCAAAGTGAGCGTAATTCCTTCCTCATTGTAAGATTTCTCCTCACCGGCTTTTCCGGGGACAACTCTTAAAATGTAGATTTCCCCTTACTTTCTCTCTCAGTGACTGGTCACCAGTACAAATAGAGTGGTGAACCTGCCCAATGGGGATACAATAAAAAATTTGACAGATGGTCTAATCCTTCCCCCAATCTATCCAAAACTAAAAAAAAAAATACATTTTAATGAAAATCCCCACCAATAGAAAGCAGCACATCACTGTTACATGTAATATGTAAATATTAGATTTGTTACGACAGATTTATGGTGAAAGAAATGTGGAGCTGGCAGTGATGGTTATTGCACTGAGCTGAACTGCAAATATTTACTGAGCGTTCTCTGCTGTTATAAAGCAGCCAGAAGTCCGATCACTATACAGCTCTAAAGCAGATAGAATGCTTACAAGAAACCCTTGACTACCCCAAAAGCATGTGCAATATATAAACTTGTGTTTGCTTAAATAGTATTATTAAAGGTGCACTCAATGTGGAACTTTAAGTAAAAGTGAAGTAAAGCCAATCCTTTTTTTTTTTTTTTTTCTTTGCCTATACTTCTCTTTTGGGTCACTGGGTCCATTTACTAAAGTACTCCTGTGACCCCCAAAGTAAGCAGATAGCAGGCTTTTGCCTGCTGCCAGCTGACAGGGCTGCACTGCAGTCAAGAAGGATTCTAACAATATCTGAGGCAGAGCCAGCTGCACCACCCCCTTCCTTGTCTGTCCCTTCCCCAGGGGGAATCTCTTGCGGGGAGCGTTGACTGACAGTCACTGCACTCTGCTGAGAGTCCGACAGCTGACTTGCCATTGGTCACTTGATTAGTCAGTGCTCAGTCTTAGAACCTGTGTAAGACAGCTACAGTGTCTCCCACAGTGGCTCTAAGTATTGGGGAGAGTATGTTTTACTCCTTTAAAAAAAAAAGGGGTGATCAGGTTGGATTTTCTTTGTGCCCAGGAGACCTATTGGAGGGGATCTATCAAAACTGGAGTAGACAAAATCTGGAGCAGGTTTGCGGTGCAGCCAGTCAGCATCTCTCTCTCTCTCTCTCTCTCTGTCTCTGTCTCTGTCTCTGTCTCTGTCTCTGTCTCTCTCTCCCCCTCTCTCTCCCTCTCACCCCCTCCTCTCTCTCTCCCTCTCACCCCCTCCTCTCTCTCTCCCTCTCACCCCCTCC